AGCCATTTCTGCAGATATCGGTGGGGCACAGTAAAGTACCAGCAGTCATGATGATGTTGAAGAAATTTAATATGTCATTACAGCCAACAAACATGAATACATCACATCATATACATTTACATGAAACATCAGACTCTGACAATCCTCAGAACCCTCTCCAGTGCTCAGGAACATATCTCTGTGGGAGTGAGAAGATATAGCTAGCATGGTAAATGTAACAATCCCCAGAACTCTCTCTAGTTTTCAGAAACATAGGCTTACTGCAGTGAAGAATATGGCTTGCACATCAGCCATATTTACCTCTGGTAATTTGCATGAATAATAGACAACAGTAATGATTCATTAAGTAGGGCTAGTCTATTATAGGCAATTACCAATATAAACTCAATATAAGAGCAGTCAGTAAAAACCTTTATTATCTGATGAAGCAGAATTTAGAGGCTATAACTATATAAAAAATAGCTGAATACCAATAGATACAGTTGCATGCAATATATAATCTGCTGTTTCTATAATAAAAATACAATATAAAAGTAAAAGGGCAAGTTTAGGACCAAAATTATCTTTATGATAAATTTTGTAGAAAAGTTGAATCCAGAAGATAAAAGTTTGAATGGTCAGAAATTTTTGAAGTTTTTTTAAAAAAAATAGGACCCCAGATACTCCGTGACACTGGCAGGAAACTTTTTGCCTGTGTGACATGGCTAAAACATTTCTGAGCAGTGTGACATGGTCAAAAGATTTTTCAGCAATGTGACATGGCTCAAACATTTCTTAGCAGTGTGACATAGTCAAAAGATTTTTCAGCAGTGTGACATAGCTAAAACATTTCCAACCAGTCTGAAACACTTCAAATATTTCCTACCACTCTAACATGCTTCAAACATTTCCAACCACTTTCAGATGGCTAGGATATTTTTCAATGCAATATATCAACCCAAATATTTCCAGTCACAATATTGAAGGTCAAACATTTTTGCCCAATGCAATAATATATTTTCCTCCAGAGGCAAAAAAATAAACGGCCAAGGAACCTATTAGCCTGGATATATACCTATATGTTTCAAGGCTAATAGCTTGTTCAAGGTGGGTGACTGAAGTGAATTCTGTATGTTCACCAAATCGATCTGGTGAGAGTTTGTATTTCTTCAAGTGCTGTAAGTTGAACACAGGGTGCATCAAATAAGTGTCTGGTAGGTGTAACCGATAAACCATGGGATTGATTCTTTCGACAACTTCGAAAGGCCCAATCATCTGCTGTATGAGTTTCTTGCTGGTCCCTTCAATGTCTACCAGTTCAAGGGAATGTGGATTAACCAGAGTGTAGTCTCCAACCTTCAGTTCTTGAACTGGTCCCCTTTTCTTATCATAGGCTTTTGCTTGTCAGTCTTGAGCTAAGGCAATAGCATCCTTAGCGAAGTTGCGATGAATTTCCAAAGCCTCAACAAAGTCATCGGCTGATTGACTGGGAAGGAAGGGGTGGCGAGCAGGGTTGATTTCTGGTATTATCGTGCTTGCTGAAGTTCTGAGGTTATATCCCATGAGCAGGAAATTAGGAGTGTATTTAGTAGATGAATGCACACTGCTGTTGTACGAATAGGCTAGGACACTAAGCCAGTTTGACCAACTCTTCTTGTCAGAGGAGATGAAAGTGCAAAGCATTTGTTCAATGGTTGCATTAAGAATTTTGGTTTGTCCATCTGTCTGCAGATGGTGCGCAGATGAAAGTGCCATGATGCTCCCATAATTGGAGACCACTGATCTCCAGAAGATGGTGGCCCAATGTTTATCTTGATCTGAGATTATGACTTCAGGTAAACCATAGACATTGATGACCTTTTCAATGAACAGCTTAGCGAATCCTTCCTGCGTCAGAGTCGAATGGGTAGGGATTATACAGTGGCAATCAAAAGTATTGCACAGCCACCACGTGATCGAGTCGCATCGATCTCCTGGTTGGATTCATGCTTTAATCTCAAGTAAAATGAGTGTTTGGGGTACATTAAAGTGTAATACATATAATCGAAACAAGTTACACATATATGAATTAGATCTAGCCATAATACATGCATTTTATTGCTGAAAACCATGTGCAATACTTTTGCTCAGGTGTCTCAGAAACACATGGTACCTCATTATAAAAGATCTAGCAAAGTATGGACCAAAAAAACAGCTCAGACATCTTTTCGCAATCATGGTCTATACTTCCCCAACAAAAGTCGTCAGAATTGTTGATCTCAAGAAGCTTTCCATGGACAACAATGTCATTGCCCAAAGAATCGGTATTCATCGCACAACTGTCACCCATATACTGAAACGCTTCGAAAAATCAGCTGATTGTTACTATGTTAATCCAAAGACAGGCCGGCCACGTAAATTAGATGCCCGTGACGTCCGAGTTGCAGCCCGGATGCTTGCGAAATGTGAAGCTGCAAATGCTACCGAGGTTGTTAAGAAAGCCTTCCCTGCCGTCTCTCGCCACACACTCTCACACAATCTCTGGGCTTATGGACTTGTCTGTCATGTTTGTAGGTCTCGCCCGTATATTTCTCCCACCAATTGGGAGAAGTGCCGCCTCTGGGCTTTGGCACATGCAGGCTGGACTGTTGAGGATTGGAAGCGCGTTGGATTTTCTGACAAGTCCAAATTCCTTCTTTTCAAATCAGATGGCCGCCAATATGCATGGTTTCAACCTGGACAGGCCCTAGATGATCGCTTTATTAAGAAAACTATCAAACATGGCGCGGGAAACCTCATGGTGTGGGGGATGATTACTGCTAAGGGTATGGGACGCCTTCATCAGATCGACGGAATTATGTGCGGCCCGGACTATGTGGAAATTCTTGATAAACAATTTCTCGGTAGTCTCAAGGACCTAAAAATAAGGCGTACAGGGAAGGAGGGGTTGATTTTTCAGCAGGACAACGATCCCAAACACAGATCCAAGGTGGCTCAGGAGTGGTTTGCACGAAAAAATGTCAAGCAACTCCCATGGCCGCCATCTAGCCCAGATATGAATATCATTGAGCATGTCTGGGATCAGTTGGATGCCTTAGTTTGTGCTCGCAACCCATTGCCGACAAACAAGGAGGAGTTATGGGTAGCACTTCAGGAGGAATGGGCAAATTTTCCATGGAAGGCCCTCAACACTCTCTATGAGAGTATGCCTCGTCGCGTTGCTGCATTAATGATGGCTCAGGGTGGCGCTACAAAGTACTGAAGGCTGGTAAGAAATTGCTTCTTTGGTTCTCCCGCAATCACTTAATCTCATGTCTGACAGCCTGTGAGCAAAAGAATTGCACAGTGCTTTGATTCGTTCTCATGGCTTTGACATCGGCGGGACCACTAATTACTATTATTGAGACTACCACATTATATTGTACTTTTCTGGCTGCAGTGTAGTTGTTTTCTTATCTTAATTGAGTGCATTTTACAATCAGTAGGCTAGATTTACAAGTGCATGTGGTGGCTGTGCAATACTTTTGATTGCCACTGTAATAGCTAACTTGGTAAGCTTATCCACTATTACTAGTATAGCGGTATATTTTTGTTCTCCTGACAGTGGTAATCCTGTTATCATGTCCATGAAGACTGTGGAGAATGGTCGAGATGGTATATGCGTGGGCCTGAGCATGCCCATCTTAGCACAATGGTCAGTTTTGATCTTTTGGCAAACGTCGCACGTGGTTGCATAAGCTTCAGCATCCCTGTTCATGTTTGGCCAGTAGAACAGTTCTTGGAGTTGTGCTATGAAGTGGTGTGGTCCAGCGTGAGCACTTTTGTGATGGGTGGTATACACTTTTATGATAAAAACTAGACATATGCCTGGAGGGTGATGTGTATAATGCCTAGAGGTTCAATGAGATCGCATATCTCATTGTTCTAGGATATTTCATTGTTAGCCCCAGGATATTTCATTGTGCTTTTCATCTGAATGCCTGGTGCTTTCAATGGATATTTCATTGCACTTTTCATAGATATACCTGGTGCTTTCATTGGATATTTCATTGCTAACCCCAGGATATCTCATTGTGCTTTTCATTTGGATGCCTGGCGCTTTCAATGGATATTTCATTGCACTTTTCATATGTGTACCTGGCGCTTCCAATGAATATTTCATTTTTAGCAGCAGCTGACCTTTCAGGGCCCAGGGTGCATTTTTCTCTATGAAAACCAAACCAAACAATATGATTTCAGTATATTTAGAAAGCTAAAAGAAAGGCCTACAACTATTGTATTGTGGGAAAAATGACCAAAAAGGAAGGTGCATGCCCTAGAAAAGGAATGGTCAGATATAGACTACCAAGTTTACTGATAGACTACAAAAAAGTCAGACTCAACTACAAAGTTTACTGATAGACTACATAAGACTAAGGTAGAGGACATCCACTTGCTTCTAACATCACATGTCATTACGGTGTATTCTAAGCTTTTCATATTGATACCTACTGTCCTATCTCAAAACATAATAAGTTCATGTGGGGATATGGCTGAAGGATTGCCATGACTTTACATATTGCTATTGCCACATCATCAGTTTTTCATCATGCCCAAGAT